GTGGATACAACAGGACTGAACCTGAAATGTATCAGCACCAATATAACTTTGAAGCATCCTGATGACAGACGCGCCTTTCCTGTAACTGATGGCATCAAATATTTCATCGATTTCACTAGCATGATTAATCTCCACCTGGAAGTAAGACACAGCTTTAGCATTATAAGTTGAATTTCCAGACACTGTTACACCTAGACAAGCAAACAATAAGCAAAACAAAACCTCAATAGGATGTGATTCAGAAAGACCGTCCAGCCTAAGCCCATCAGTAGTCTGGTCAAGAAATTGAGTCCAAATATTCCATTCTGGAAATATAGCATCAGCTGCTAAGTAAGATACCTGAAGACAGCCAATAATAATTCAATATAATTAAAACTGAAATACCAATTTGTATTGCAGTATAAATAGAAAATTGCTTTGATTAGTTATAAATTTAGAATACCCATGTTGCAAATCCCTCATTCAGCCATAAATGAGTCCACCATTCCATAGTCACGAGATTTCCAAACCATTGATGAGCCAATTCATGAGCAACCACAATAGCAACCTTAAAAGAAAAGAACTCTATCACTGAATATACAAGGGAAGTAATGCAATGAACAAGATCAAGTTATAGTGAATTAGTGATCATCCAGCTAAACAAATAAATTACCCTTTGCTTATTAGCAGCGGCAGAGTGCTTCTCATCATACAACAATGCATTCTCACGGTATGTGACCAAACCATAGTTCTCCATGGCCCCGGCGGCAAAATCAGGAATAGCAATCATATCCAATTTGGGTAGGGCGTACGGCACATCAAAGTACCTTTAAAAATGTTAAAGGTAATTTAACAATAAAACAGATTAAACATGGAAAAATATATAGCTTGGAACCATCAGAGAAAAGAGAGAGTGGGGGCAAGTTACTTTTTATATAATTCAAGTGTCTTAACAGCAACCTCCAGAGCAAACTTCCCTTGGTCTGACTTGCCAACTTGACAATAACATCTAACTTTTATACCTTCACAATATGAAAGAAACGTGGTCATATATAAAGGTCCATTGAAACGTTTTTCATCAAAACCACTAGCAACAAAGTGTCAGGTCTAGTATACCATCGGATGTGTGACTTTCAACAAAATCAAACGAACCCACAACTACAGCAACCAAGTATGTCGACATAATTGGTGACTCCTCAAAGTAAACCGTCTTAAGATCTCCTTCTTTCTTTTCTTCAATGACAGGCATATTAGAGAGTGCAACAAGACTTGATGGAACATCCAAGGTAATCTTGAATGTAGCCTAAACAGATGAGAGACGGACAAAGTTAGATGATAAGCCAAAGGCCACAGACACAAGTGAAAGCAAATAACAATGACATGTCAAAATTGTTAAGACTTAACATGTCTGACAACTTGGTGTTCACCTACCCATTTATATCACTCTCAATGTGCAAATTACCAAGAAAAAAGTTTACAACAACATCAACAGACAATTAAACATGTTATTCAAATTGACGGCAGTCATGGCAAAATCCAACTCCAAGTGTCAAAACAAGCTATTTAAGGAAATTTTTCTGATTAATCTAAGTGTCAAATAACACTAAGAATTACACAAACAATGCTTCTAATCACAACGAAAACCAAGCATAGCACGTAAACATAGCAAACAGATTCAAATGGTGGTAAAAACAGATCTAAGCAACCCCAACACATCAGCACCCTAAAGAAACAGAAAAAAAAAAAAAAAAAAAAAAAAAAACCTTGGCAGCTGGTTCATCCCAGCACGGAAAACATCGACGTGCATCAGCAGGTTCAAATTGAGTAACCGCCATGTTCTTCTTCTCCCCATTGATCTCATACACACTGAACAATTGAACATAACAACAAACATAAATTAAATAAAACAAAGAATCAAAATTTAGCAACCCAAAACAAAAATTAACAGTTCATAAGAAGCTAATGCAGTTCAATGGGTACATTGCATGTCTAATTCAAAGTTCATAATAAAGGCCAACTAATCAAACACTTTCCTTGATTAACTAATTTATGTTTTTTTTTTGCTCTCAAATTTAAACCATCAGTAATACAATTAACAAATGATTACCCATTAAAAAAAAAATTTAAAAAATAATAATAAACCCACCTTCTATAGAAACCCTTCATTTGATCGTTTAGGGTTCCTTGAAAAGAAATATTCAAAACCCCAATTCCAATAGGAAGCTCTTCCGCAAATTCAACAACTAATAACTCATCTTCTTCAATCAATCCTACCCCAGAAGATCGAAATTCCTAAGTTCAAAAAAATCAAATCTTTATTAGCCCAAAAAATGAAAAATCAAATCTTTCAAAAAAAAAAACAAAAATTAAAATGGAGTGGGATTAGATTATAACCTGAGAAGATGACTTGTGATTGAAGGAAACAGAGGAAGAATCAACATTGAGATCAGCAGCATTGAGAACGAGGAATTTAGTGGGTGAAACGACATCGACATCGATTGAAACGACACCGTCGAATTTGCAGGATTCAAGGTTGGGTTTAAGGTGGATGTCGTAGCGTTTTGGGGTAGCAAATTTGGGGAGACGAGGTTTGCCTTTGAAGTCGGAGTAGGATGAAGATGCCATTGTTGTTGCTTCTTGTTTTTTCAGTTTTCTCTCTCTTCTCTTCTCTTCTCTTCTCTTCTCCAAGTAATCAACTAAAGTACAGAAAGATTCTACGAGGTTACGTTATTTGAATAGTCAGTACAAATATTTCGTACTGCACACTTTGTTTTTGTGAAAAAGAAAAAAAAAATACGGAGTACTACGTATATGCTCGGCCAATATTCTTCGCCTTATTCGAGTAATATTTAATAAAAATTATTTATGTTTAGTAAAAATAATGGTAATTTATTAAAGATGGTTTAAGTTATAAAAATAATTTTAATTTCAATTTAGTAAAAATAAAATTAATCAATAAAAATCTGTAACTTTACAAAATTAATATACAATGCGTTCACTTCACCTTAAAAAAATATTCAATAAAAATAATTTCAGTTCAGTAAAAATCAGTAAATGTGAAGAAGAAATATAATAGAGATTCGGTAAAAATAATTTATGTTCAGTAAAAATAATTTCTGTTCAGTAAAAATAATTTAAGTTCAACAAAAATAATTTAAGTTCAGTAAAAATAATTTCAGTTCAACAAAAATAAGATGAAGTGAATAGGGCCAAAGTAATGTAAATATAAAATCAACTAGATTATCCCTGTGCGATGCACGGTTTTAACAAAAAAATTGTAGTGTAGAACTTGTATATACACTGAATCTTTCAATTTTGTCATAAATTCATTGGAAGGAATACAGTTGCTATTCAATTTACTATACTCCGATTTTCTAGATTAAAGTTGTTTAAAGAATTTACTTAGCTTGTTTACGAAATATCACACCAAAAAAAAAAAAAAAATCCTTTCAAAAAAAAATTATCACAAAATAGACATCATCAATGGTTTTAGGCGGGAAAAAAACTTCATAAAAAAGCGACACCTATACAGTTTTGAAAAGAAATGATGTCAGTAATATTTTGTTGTAGTAATAGTTAATAGATACACATAAATTTAATCTAGTTAAAATGATTTTATTTTAGCAAAAATAATTTAATTTCAGTACATAAAATTTATGTTTCGCCAAAAATTAAGAGGATAGTCTTTCAAAAGAAAAAAAAAATGAGGAAAGAACAAAGCCTAATTTTTGTTCAATAGTCATCATACTCATAAGCAAATACATTTTTACTGCAAATTTGGATCATTTGGATCATAGTCTTGCTCTCTTATCCCTATTCTAATAAGTTGATTACGGTAAAAATCATTTAAATTCAACAAAGGTAATTGAAAATCAATAAAAATAATTTGAGTTCAACAAAACTTAGGTAAACAAAAAAGAGCCTAAGGATGATCAGGCCCTTAACACTTGTGTTCTCAATTATGCACTCTATACTTAATCAAAAGACATCAGATTAACTATATGTTCAATCATGCTCCAGTCAAGGAGAAAATTGAATTAAGTTATTGTCAAATGTCAACTAAGCAAAAAAAGATATTTTAACACACTAGAAGATTGAGAAAAAAAAAAAAAAAAGAAGATGGTAATTTCAGTATGAAAACAAAAGGGAACTTGATTTAATATCAATTGATGTTATTTGAGCTCGACCTAAAACAAAAACCTTTTTTTTTTAAGAAAAAAAAAATAATTATTAATTCATGTCAATTTTTGAAGTTTGTTAAGAGTGTGTGTATAGAAAAAGTACTCGTACAACTTTAAAATTTCTAGTGGAAATAGATGAGTTTACTATTTTTTTTAATGTAAAAACTAAATAAATAAATAAATAAATAAAAAGGAAGTATCAACTTAAAAGTTTTCTGTCTAATATAGGTCATGTGAAAATTTCATCATACACCCGGGTGTATCATGCGTATGGTACACCCGGTCAAAATACAAGGGTTGTAAAAAATACGGAAAGAACATTGTGTACAAATATTAAGTACACGAGCAAAAAAAAAATTACATAACAATTCCTTCCTTGGTTGATTGATTTGTTATTTATACTCTTTGATTTATGGAATTGATTTATTATGTGCATTCCATGTTACTTTTGGTAAACAGAATTTCAATTTTTTGTTTAAGAGAGACAAATTGAGTTGATATAGAGAGAAAAACCATGGTAAATTTTGAATTTCGAAGTAATTCAATATTATTACGAGGTTTATTTTATCGTTCCAATGAATCTCTTAATCAAAAGATGTAATTGACTAATTCGTTGTTGGGAGAGAAGGTATTTTTCAAAAAAAAAATCTTTTTTTCTGTTATTTTCTGAGGTTGAAGATGATGTTCTTCATATTATGATAAATGTTCTTTTATCATTTCTTAGATCCATATTCATTTTTGAATTGAAATGTAATATGTTCTTTGAGTCTAAACTATATGTTCTTTACATTACAAACAATATTTTGTATATTTTTTTTGATAGGAAGCAAAAATATATTATTAAGCATCATTGTGGCTTAAATCAGCCAAAACCAACTCCATTACATCACTAGGACACTCCTCTAACCATACTCTAAGATTAGAAAACTGATTACAAGCTTTTGCTAAACCATGAGCTACTCGATTTCCATCTCGTTTCACAAACGAAGAGGAACAAAAATGACACAAACGAGAGAGAGTTAGGATATCACTAACAATTCTGCCAAAAGGAGTAGGAGTGACATATCCCTTCTTCAAATGGCTATGAAGCTTCAGGCAATTTGTCTCTAAACAAAGTCGCAAGAAACCTGCCTCCATTGTGATACTTAGAGCGTGTCTCATAGCCAAGGCTTCCGCTATATCCACATCGAAACCACCCTCCATCCTAAAGCAAGTTGCAACCACTACATCTCCAACATAATCCCTCATCGCTCCACCAAAACCCACCTCATTTGGCGAGAGCAAAGCAGCATCAGAATTTAATTTAATCACTCCAGCTAATGGAGGCTTCCAGCGAGTCTCAAACAGCATGGCATGTGGGTTAGTATTTCTTACCTCCTTCGCTAGTTCAAATTTGCCAACTATACTCACTGCTTTGCGAATAACATCAGTTCCCACCATCCTCTTTCTGTCAAAAGTCCAGCCATTGCGTCGCAGCCACACTCCCCAAGCAATACTCCAAAACAGGCTCCACCAATTTAAGTCTTTGACAAACTTCCACACCGAACTGCACCACTCTCTAAGATTCTCCCTTGGAATTTTCCTACATCCAAGCGCAAAGGGGATGTATACCAAATCAGCTTAGCCTGATCGCAACGCGGCAACATATGAAGAGTACTCTCAATTGCTTCACCACACATAGGACATGTCAATTCAAGAGTTACACCTCTTCGAGCAAGGTTGCCATGAGAAGCAACTACATCTCTAACACCCCGCCAAGCCAACATTTTAATCTTTTGCGGGACCTCCACATTCCATACCATCTTCCAATCGAAAGGAACACCCACATTTGACGAAGAAGCAGTGTCTCTCATTTGCTCAACAGTGATTAAATTATAAGCACTCTTCACCGAGAATCTCCCATCTTCCGAACAATGCCACATCTAAGTGTCTTTGCTATCATACAAAGGAATGGGAATGCTTTGCATCATGCTAACCTCTGCCACAGAAAAATAAGCATTGAGAGTATTTATATCCCAAGACCTATACTCCTATAATTGTCGCTGATAAATAGGACATTGATTGCCCTCACTTTGGCTTGACATTACTTTGAACTCAGGCAGCTTTGGAACCCACGGATCCTGCCAGATATTTGTTAAACCCCATCACCAATATTTTTCCTAACACCCTTCATAAGTACATCACGAGCCCCAAGGATAGACCTCCAAGTAAAACTCGAGTTCGATCTGATTTTTGCCTCCATAAGAGTCGAGTTAGGTAAATATTTTCCTTTGAGGACCTTAGTCATGAGGGAGTCCTCATTTGAGAGAATACGCCAAGCTTGTTTAGCCAGGAGGGCCTTAATAAAATTCTTCATATTTCTAAAGCCAAGGCCACCTTGCTTATTTGGAACATACAATTTCTCCCAAGCGACCCAACAAATCTTCTTCTCCTCACCTTTTTAACCCCAAAAATATTGCCGACTAGCCAGAATCAAGAAACATTGCATTGCATAAGTCAAAATTGCTTGAGCGATTGATTTAATTAGCACTTCTTTCCCGGCTTGAGATAATATTTTTCTTTCCACCCCTTGAGCTTTTTCCAAATCTGATCTTGAATATTTTGGAAAATCTGTTTTTTTATCCACCAATGTAAGTTGGCAAACCAAGATATGTGTCATGTCCTTCGACAGCCTTAAGAGATAACTTCATCTGAAGCGTATTTTCCGTTCCTGCTCTATGTTTCGGCTAAAGAACACCTCTGATTTATCCTATTCAATTTCTCACCCGAAGCAATCTCGTAAGTAGAAAGAATCCTAAGAACATTATCAAATTCTTCTTCATTCGCCCTCACAAAAAGGAGACTATCAGCAAAGAAAAGGTGAGAAATCGGTTTAACATATCTACTAATCTTCACCCCATGAATGAGCTTCTTCTCTCCGGCATCCTTAAGTAACGTCGACAATCCCTCCGCGCACAAAATGAACAAAAAAGGAGATATGGGATCCCCTTGTCTAAGTCCTCGGGTAGACTTAAAATTCCTCGACGGTTGCCCATTTACAAGAACATCAAGGGATGCAAAACTAACACAATTCATCACCAAGCTCACAAAAGTTTTCGGCATACCCAGCTTCAACATCATTTTCTACAGAAATTCTCATTCAACCCTGTCATAAGCCTTACTCATGTCAAGCTTAAGCCCAAGGTAACCCTTCCTCCGAAGGTAATGAAAGCACTCATAAGCCACCAAATTGTTATCAGTAATTAGCCGGCCCGGAACAAATCCACTCTGCGACTCATGAATAATATACAGAGCTAATTTTAATCTGTTTGCTAGCACTTTAGTAACAATTTTATACAATACATTACATAAGCTAATAGGTCTATAATCAACAGGCGACTCACACTCTTTTTTTTTCGGAATTAAAACAATATGAGTCTGATAATAGTACCTACATCCCCATTATTATTCAAAATATCTAACACTTTCCCAACTACATCATTCCTAACAATATCCCAAAATTTTTGGTAAAAAATTGCGGACATACCATCGGGCCCGGGGGCCTTTGTAGGATGCATTTGAAAAAGTGCAATTCAAACCTCCTCGAAAGTGAACGGGGCAGCCAAACTCGTGTACTGTCTATCATCAATAACCGGAACCACCTTCTCAATCACGGGCTCCATCTTAATGTTACTACTCATAGCAAACAAATCTTCAAAGTAGCTTACAAAACTCTCGGCAATCAGCTCTTCCTCAATATACACATTCCCAGTCGCATCTTTTATTTGGAAGATGTTGTTGCGTGCTTTTCTTTGCTTAGCCTTTTGATGGAAAAACGATGTAATTTTGTCCCCATGTTTAAGCCATTCCTGCCAACTACGTTGCTTCCAATACATCTATCCCTCCTCTCAAGCTCATCCATACGATCATCAATAGCTCTCATTTGAGCTATCACCTCCTCCATTTGAGCTTCCCCCATTAAGAATTTCGTTTGAGCCTTACATGCATTAAGCTCTTTAATAAAATCCCCAAATTTCTCTCTACTCCAAGCACTAAGCCTTGTAGAAGTGAAGGCTATTTTCGAGCACAAATCACCCCCTCGATCCCAAGCCTCCGAAATAATACTAGCACAATTCTCATCTCTAAGCCACATCTCTTCGAACCTATACAACTTTTTCTTCTTTGTAGGGACTGCATCTTTAATACATAGGAGAATAGGAAGATGGCCAGACTTCCTCTTTGTAAGGTGTGTAACAAAAGATCCCTTAAAAGAATCCCTCCAAGCTCTATTTGCAAAGAATCTGTCTAACCTTTCTTGAATATTTTCCTCCCCACCCCTATTGTTACACCACGTAAAGTCATGACCTATAAAACCAAGATCTTCCAATTAACAGTGATCCACAGCAGTATGCAAAATGTCAGCTTCCCCAACATCAAAATCTCATCCACCTTGTTTCTCACCTGAATGAAGCATGAGATTTAAGTCACCACCACATAACCAAGGATCATCACGAGCATCCCTCAAACTCTCAATAAGCAGCCCAGTTTTGAATTTATTTTCATCATTAGGATGACCATAAATCCCAGAGAAACGCCACTTCCCTTGAAGACTCAAGCATACCCAGGCATCAATATGGTTTAAAGAAAAGATCTCACCGTCAAATTCACATTGTTAGGTTTTCTAAACAGCAATCTCAACAAGTAAAAACTTATACAGTTGTGGGAACAAACCTAAACATGTACAATAATCAAATTATACACAATTTCAATACTATTCAAAGTATTACAAGCAAAGAAATATTAAATAAATGAATTACAGAAATTCAAATGACAAATCCTAATGTGAAAGATTTCAAACTTGCCTCACTTCCAAGCCTTTTCAAACGAACATGAACACGAGAATACCGGTGACCACTTGAGTCTCAAACCTTGATATAATGTCTTAGGCGTGTATACACTTTCCTAAAGAGATTAATTTCCCCCACAACGGTGCTTGGGTTAAACCGGAAATTCTCTTTGAGATATGAAAGACACTCAATCCGTTCTTAGCACAAAGAAATGAATAAGGATGATTAATTCACAAAGGAAGGCTAAATTTCAAGAGGTTAATCTTTCAATAGTTGGCAAGAAGATTGAAAGAGAATAGGAGAATAATATTATGGAGAGGATGAACAAAAGCTCTGTAATTTTCTTTTTTGTTCTTCTGTATCTCTTTCGTATTCACGAAAATCCCTTTTATATGAGGGTTAACCGTCAGCAAATAACCGCAAAACTGGCTAATGGCGCGGGCGCGACAAACAAGGCGCGAACGCGCCACAACAAGGAGCGGGCGCTCCTCACTTTGGAGCGGGCGCGCCTCACTGAGGAGCGGGCGCTCCTCTTTCAGGAGCGGGCGCTCCTACCCAGAATAAGCGTTTGATGAAATTTTCCAGTGAGGGGCGCGGTTTGAGCGCGACCAGAGGCGCGGGCGCGCCACCAGGGCAGCGCGGGTGCGCCAAAACTTGCGCGGCCGCTCCTCTCACATTCATTTTCCATGCTGAAATCCAGAGAGGTACGCGATTTAGGCGCGCTCTCATCGCGACTACCAGGCGCGGTCGCGCTTTACATGGGCGCGAGCGCGCACCATAAAACACTCTAAATTATCTAACAAACATTATCATTCCATAGAAGTGCTAGACCACCTCTCCTTCTCCTTCCTTCACCCTCACATTCAACAGTAAAGCAAGAGTTGAATTTTATTTTTTGTTTTATTTTTTCCATCTCAAACACCTTCAACTTCGTCTCCGAAAGAAACACAATCTAGGGGCTTTCAAGAAAAACAATGCGTTTCAACGCATTAACTGCGACGATGCTCCCCAAACCCCTGCAGTTCCAAGCTAATATGTAACTCATTGACCACCGAAAGCCCTATTGGTGGGGCTCGCCACTCTTTCAGCAGAAACAACAAGCACACGTCTCATTTTATCCCTCACTTCCTCCCCTAAAATCATCTCCTCACTAGTAATGTTCCCTTCACTCTCCCTCCTTTTTTCTCCTGCCATCATCACACCACGACTCATACTATGATATGCATCTCTCGGTTTCCTACGAAAGCCTCTACCACCTCTTTCATCACCTACCCCTACTTCTTGTCACTAGTAGCAGTGTTATGGGTGTTCATTGCGACTGCACTACTACCAAAAAAAAAAACTTCATTCTCTACTGCTTTCTCCTTTTCACTCGAAACCTTTTGTATGTTAACAATAGCTTCATTATTCAACCCAACTCCACCCAGCCTATTCACCATCTCACTAACATGTTCACGTTCTTCTTCAGTGGGAATTTTCTACTTCGATTTAGTGATGAATAAAGCCCTCGCACTCCCTCGTCCCTCTACACCATCCTCCACCTCTGTAAACCTCGAATTATATTTCCAAGGGGAAGCCTTCATCCAAGCTCCATAATTATCAACTTCCCTATGTTCATCATAATCTTTTATACATGACCCATGTGACCACAAAAGTAGCAAAAAAGCGGTGGCTTCTCGTACTTTACCTCAAAAAGTTCTTCAATTCCACCCCTCAATTTTAATTTTACATGTTTTGCTAGCAGTTTCCTCACATCAACAAGAACTTGGATTCTAATAGATTTATCGATACCAACCCTAGCTTCATTATCCAATTTCACAAACACACCCAATTTATTCCCAATGTTTCAACATTACTTACATTTAGTCTTCCCTTCAGAGGAAGATTATATACCCTCACCTACATTGGCTAATGAAAAAGTTGGATATCAGAAGGTTTTACCGAGTCCGTAGTTTCGCCAAGGATCAAAGCACGTTTATCAAAGTGCCATGGTTGTTCCTCAAGCACTCTACTTTTGTCACGCCAATGGTAAAATTGAAATAAGAATAGGTTCTTTCCAATGCTTGCATTGTGATGTCAACACCATGCTTAGGTTG